ATTCTTTCATTTCTTTAGGATAGGGGTTGGCAATTTTTTTCTTTAGAGGACCAGATGGTAAATATTTTAAACTCTATATGCCTAGATTATCTCTTGCATTGTGAACCAAAAATGCCAGGTTAGTAAGGCATTGCTGGGGCAGTGGTAGGAATCACTTCATTGCTTCCCTTCTCTCAGGTACCACTGACCTGTGCTGCCTCATGTCCAATTTCTGAAAACTGTTATATCACCCTGCATATGTAGTTGTTTAGCCAGTGTAGGGTCTGTCTTGCCTGGGAATGGAAAATTTGTTTATACATTTTTAATGTAATAATTATTCCCCCCCCCCCCAATTTTAACGCCTTTGTATTTAAAACTATTATGCCTGGATATGTGAGTATTGTGTTTTCATATTACATTTATGCCATAGGATTATATTTATGCCATAGAAGATATTGTTCCTATGCAAAGAAGGGGATGAGTGACTGTTGGATTCCCTAGTAGTTTATCTCCTAAAATACTCACCTATTTATACAGGAATATTAAAATGTTAATGTAGCAATGAATGTTACACACCTAAGTTAGGAGACAGTCTCACTCTCTTACTAATTGCTTACGCTTGTTTTTTTCTTTGTGTTTTTTATATTAAGACCTTTTATATTATGGAATATAATATACATATAGAAAAGTACACAAAACACAAATGTACAGCTTAATGAAATTTCATGTAAGCAACACCAAGGAAGAAATAGCATCTTAGATACCTCTAGTATGCCTCTTTCTGATTCACAAACTTCTTCCTCCCACCAAAGATAACCACTATCCAAACTTCTGTGATTTTGCTTCCTTGCTTTTCTTCATACTTTTGTTACTTAGATTTGTATATCTAAACAGTAGGATTTGGTTTTGCCTGTTTTTTTAAATAATGTTTATTTGATTACATGACAAGTTTTAGTTTTCTTTTATATAAAGAGGCTTTTTGGAAATAATTTTGCAACTTTCTTCCCAGTATAGTTACTTATTTATATTTATACTTGGGAACTTGAAGCAAAATAAACATTAGTCCTGATAGATTCTATCCCACACCTACCCCCCAACTTTTATTACTACTTGCCCAAAATAGCTTCCTTGGTAGCCACACTATAGAAACTATATATTGTAAGCAAATATTTTGGTACTTGTTAGCTTTTGTATAAAGGTTATGTTAATGTTCATGTAACTTAAGGGCAAAACAATTACCTGATACTAAACGAGTCAGTGTTTCTTTTAATATATTCACACACATACATGCAATCTATCAGTGCTGAATTAATGCCTTACTCTGGGGATTTAAAATGTGATTATGTTATACACAAGTACCCCTTCATCATAAAATGGTGCCTATTATTTGACAATAATTATGTATACAATTTGGCAAAATAACTTTTTGAATGGTAAAAACATTTTAAAAATCTCATTTAAAAAATGTGAATTTGTGTTCTCAAAGTATTTTATGCAAGCAGGCCTTTAAATTATGATACATGTTAAAACCCATTCTAATGGTGGTGGTAATATAATCTATGGTGAGGAATAATAGATACATGAATGAGAAAGGACAGTATTCAAAAAGTGAAATATATATGTGGTATGTAATTGATATATTTAAGAAATATATTGTTTAGGAAAGGTAGTTATTAGATAGGCAAGTAAGAAGTAGGCAAGCATAATAGTATTTTGGCAAGTTTCCTGAAATACATATGCATAATAGTAATTAGAAGCATACTGAGTTTTAAATGTCAGCCTACTTTTATTCATTTCTTTTTCTAGCATCTACTTGTATGAAGAGTGACTATTCTTCTAAGAGGGGTTTATCAAGGTTTTTGTGAATATTATTTAGGAAATAAATTTCCTCTGTTACATTTAACTAACATTAAATTTATAATACTAGCAATGATTTGTGAAAGATTTGAAGTTTTGTTGATTGAATTAATTGATCAGTTGATGCTAAGGAATTCTCCCATTTTTACAGTTGAGATTTGTGACAATTTCTATGCTTTCTACTCGCATCCAGTGAACAAAATTTTTTTTGTCATGTTTATAATCTTCAGCAACATGCTAAAATGAATTACTAGAAGTATCACTTATATTCTAAACTTAAATGTTTTTTTGCTAAATTGGTTTAATTCAGATTGTGTTTATCAGCTATTAACATTCTTTTAGTGGCCATTAATGCTTTGAAGGCCTTTAAAGAATGGGAACATAGGTTGTTCCCAGGAGACTGAATATCAACATCATTTCATAAAGTCCAAAGTGCTTTGCGAGTGTGTTTTCTTAGTTTTAGTCTTAGTCTTAGTAAAATGAGTCAGTTGGAGGTAATCACACAGCCACCTTACAACATCAACTGGTGATAATGATTATAAGGTACCATTGAGTATTGTGCATTATAATTTCAGAGAAGTTTAAATGTGAATAAATGCATACCTTGGAATTGTTGAAGTAGGGTTTTGAAGTCATTAACTAACTTTAAAAGGACAGCTATGATAATGTGTTCACATTTTCTATGATTAGACATGTTACACTGAGAATTTTCCATTTGATTTTTTTGAGTTTGCAGTTATTTTCTTTTTCACTTTAGATATTATTCATTGTTCCATTTTCAGATTGATGTAATAGAATTTACATTCAACTGAGATATAATTTTTATCCTATCTAATAAAAGAGTAATATGCAAATTGACTGTCACTCCAACACACAAGATGACTGTCCCCATGTGGTCAAAGATAGCTACCCCCATGTGGACACAGATGGCTGCCACAAGATGGCCAGCAAGGGAGGGCAGTTGGGAGGGACCAGGCTTGCAAGGGAGGGCAGTTAGGGGTGACCAGGCCGGCAGAGGAGGGAAGTTGGGGGTGACTGGGTCTGCAGGGAAGGGCAGTTGTGGGGGTGAGGACCCAGGCCTGCAAGGGAGAGCAGTTGGGGGGTTGGGGCAGCCCTGCAGGGGAGAGCAGTTAGGGGTGACCAGGCCTACAGGGAAGGGCAGTTAGGGGCAATCAGACTGGCAGAGGAGTGGTTAGAGATGATCAGGCTGGCAGGCAGAATCAGTTAGGGGCAATTAGGAAGGCAGGCAGATGAGCAGTTAGGAGCCAGCAGTACTGGATTGTGGGAAGGATACCTGACTGCCCGTTAGGTCCAATCTTACTGGGATCAGGCCTAAACAGGCAGTAGGACATCCCTCAAGGGGTCCCATATTGGAGAGGGTGCAGGCTTGTCTGAGGCACACACCCCTGTGCATGAATTTTGTGCACCTCTAGTGTAATATAAAAGGCTATTAACTTTCACTATCTAGATTCAGAGATGTATGTTGGCCTAATTACTTTGGGTAGGGGTATAGGAAATTTTTATTTATTTATTTATGTAGAACAATGTTAAGTCTGATGTTGTGCCCATTTACTCACAGTGTCCATTAGGAAAAGATTTGTGATAATAGGTCAAATAAACACAAGGATATTTAATTATGCTCTTTTTCTATCTTGCACCGTTACTTACACATTCCACAAGCACAGTTCTAATGGCAGTATTTCATCATTCACAATGTTTACATGCAGTTTAGAATGATGGACCTCTTTGCAGTAGGAATAGGAAGGGAGGGATGATGCAGGAAAGGTAACCATTATTTTTTTTTCTAAGCTTTATATAGTTTGATTTTTATTTTCATGTGCATTTATTATTTTTATAAGAAATAAGTACATCACTGAAACCAGTTTGGCTCAGTAGATAGAGTGTCTGTCTGCAGACTGAAAGGTCCCAGGTTCGAGTCTGGTCAAGGGCATGTATCTTGGTTGCAGGCACCTCCCCGGTAGGGGGTGTGCAGGAGGCAGCTGGTTAATGTTTCTCTCTCATTGACATTTCTAGTTCTCTATCCCTCTCCCTTCCTCTCTGTGGAAAATCAATAAAATATATTTAAAAAAATAAAATATATTAAAAAAAAGAATAAGTACATCTTTAATATATATATATATATATATATATATATATATCTTATAAAATATTATTTCATATTGCTTATATGGAGATAGTGCATTTGGCATTCTTCATGATCCATTCCAAATTTTCTTTGGATTTTCATCTCCAACTAAATTATCCCTTACTCTAGCCATACTTGTCTACTCTTTGTATTAATTAAGTCTTCTACATTCTCAGAACTTGCCTTAATTTCTCCCTCTGCTTTACCCACCCTTCAAAGCCAATCCCAAATCCCACCTATTTAAATGTTTTCAGCTCCCTTCATAGTAAGTTCCTCTTATTCACTACTTTGCAATGGCAAATACCTGTATAAATAGCACTTAGTAGGGTTAATTATTTATGTGTCTGGTTTTCCTGTTAGATTTTGGTACCTAATTATTTAGGATTGTATTTTATTCTATAGTGCTAAGATTAGACATACAATGAGTGTGTTCTGAGTTGAATCCTTATATATTTTTAAGTATATGTATTACTTTATTTAATACTTCCCCAGAGACACTACATAGTAATTTTTCTAGAATTAATAATATTAGACTGTTTTACATTTGTGTTTTCATTCTCAACATGTATCCACTATTTTCTGAAGTATAAGAATTATTTTTTGCCCTAGCCAGTTTGGCTCAGTGGATAAAGTGTTGGCCCACGGACTGAAGAGTTCTGGGTTCAATTCTGGTCAAGGACACATACCTCCATTGTAGGCTTAATCCCAGGTCCTGGTTGGGGCAAGTGTGGGAGGCAACCAATTGATGATCAATATTTCTCTCTGCCTCTCCCCTCCCTTTCACACTCTCTAAAAAAATCAATGAAAAAGTGTCCCTGGGTGGGGATTTAAAAAAAAAAAAAAAAAAAGAAAGAAAGAAATGTTTCTTTGCTGCTTATGCAATAATTGTCTAAAAGACAATAATTGCATAGATATTCATTTTTTTACTGTTTTATTTTTCATCTATTATATAATTTTGATGATTAGGCAACCTTACGTTTAAGAGTATTTTTTAAATAATGCATTTAATTTTTTGTAGGTTGCTTCCTCAGAACGTTGGACTTCTTTATGTTGGAGGTTATGAAAGACCCTTTGCACAAATCAAGGTATGATTGTTCATTTTCCAATATACTTTTCCTAGATGTACTTTACTTGTTCAGAATTCACTAAAAATCTGCAAGTAACCATCAACATATTAAAAATATTGTGTTTGTGAACAATGACTTATATTTGCTTTTGCATATCTCTGCTGAAGAAAGTAATTCAGTTTTGTAAAGAATTATTTAAATATTTTTGCCCGTAGTAGAGTTGATTTTGATGAAAGTACTTCAGCGATTAGTTAAGAAGAGTCAAATTTAGAGCCACTGATTAATCTTTTACATTACTCCTTTTGCCCTTAAAATTTTGACAGTTTTATTGAGGTAATTAACATATAAAAATATACATATATAAAGTGTACAATTTGATAAATTTTGACATGATTACATTTCTGAAATCATCACTCTCAAAGTTTCCCTGTGCCTCTTTAAAATCCTTTTTCCTCTCCTGCCTTTCCTGTTTCCCTTTTAGTCCTCAGATGACCACTGATCCAATTGTGTCATTATGGATTAATGTACATTGTTTAGAATCTATCTCTGTATATAAAAGCCTAAGCAGCTGACCAGCTTGGCTGGTAGCAATGATGTGTACTGAACACCAGGGGGAGGATGCTCAATGCAGAAGCAGAAACCACAGGCATAGAAACATGGAACAGACTAATGAAGAGATTAACCAAAGGTCTTATATGTGTACTAGAGGCCTGGTACACGGGTTTACCTCAGTCTGGCCTGCCAGGATCTGGCTGAAACTGGCTCTCTGACATCCCCTGAGGGGTCCTGGATTACAAGAGGGTGCAGGCCAGGCCAAGGACTCCATTGGTGCATGAATCCATGCACCAGGCCTCTATTCTATACTAATAAAAGGGTAATATGCTAATTAGATCAGACATCTTCCAGATGTCCTTTTGGACAAAGCCATGGTTGGAGGGGTGGGGCAAGACATAGGCAGTTAAGGACGATCAGTCCACAGGCAGAGGTGGTTAGGGGCAATCAGGTTGACAGGGGAGTAGTTAGGGGTATCAGGCCAGCAGGCAGAGGCAGTTAGGGGCGATCAGGCAGGCAGGCAGGATAGCAGTTAGGAGCTAGCAGTTCTGGATTGTGAGAGAGATGTCCTTGATTAGAGAGGGTGCAGGCTGGGCTGAGGGACCTGCCCCCTCCCATGCACAAATTTTGTGCACTGGGCCTCTAGTTTTATATAAGGGAAATTATACAGAATTCTGTGCGCCACCTTCTTGGCTTATTTCACTCAGCCTAATTATTTTGGGATTCATCCATGTTGTTCCACTTATCAATAGTTCAATCCTTTTTATTGCTGAGTAGTATTTTATTATGTGGTTAATGCACAATCTTTTTATTCTTTCATCTGTTGATGGACACTGTTGTTTCTGTTTTTTGGCTATTTAAAATAAAACTACTGTGAAGATTTGTATACAAGTCTGTGTATGGATATATAGTTTCATTTCTCATTGGTAAATACCTAAGATGGGAATGACTGGGTTATGACAGTTGTATGTTTAAGGAGCTAACAACCTGTTTTCCCGCCAGCAGAATGTGAGAGTGCTAGTTTCTCCACATCCTCATCAACATTTGGTCAGTCTTTTTAAATTTAGCCATTCTTGTAAGTATGTGGTGGTATTTGTAGTTTTAATTTGCATCTTCTCATGTGCTTCTTTGCCATCTGCATATCTCTAGTGCAGTGTGTGTGTTCAAATCTTGCCATTTTAAACTTGCTTTTTTGTTTTCATGCTGTTGAGTTTTGAGCATTCTTTGTATCTTGCAGATGTAAGTCCTTTATCAGGTATGCAGTTTACATATATTTACTCCCACCAACACCATACTATCTTAATTAATGTAGCTTTATAATATGTAACACTGTCAGGTAGTATAAATCCTCCAACTTTGTTCTTCCTCAAAGTTGTTTTGGCTAACCTATAGGTTCTTTTAATTTCCATGTGAATTTCAGAATAATCTTGTCAATTTCAATAAAAATGCTGGCTAGAATTTTTATTTGGATTATGTTGAATCTATAAATCAGTTTGAGGAGAAATGACATCTTAACAATATATTGAATGTTTTAATTAATATAGGCTATATATTTTTCCATTTACTTAGATCTTTACTGTCTCTCAGCAATATGTGTTGGTTTCAGTGTTTTGGTCTTGCAAATTTTAAAATGAATTTACCTATAAATATTTTATATAAATATTAAAAGTACTTCAGCTTTAATATTTGCATTGCTAGTATATAAAGATGATGACATTTTGTGTTTACTTTAAATCCCATAGTTTTATTACACTCTATTAGTTGTAGTAGCTTTTTGTACATTTAATATGATTTTCTTTTTTTTTTTTTTAACACACACATACACACACACACACACAACACACACACACACACAACAATGTCGTTAAACCTCCTCAGTATTAAGTCTCCTGAATATTCAGGTTAAGCCTTTTCTGAAAAATTCTCCTTTTTCAGCTTAACAATAACCCACAACCTTCGGACCAACTAAATTCTCCTTTTTCAAAACATAAGAATATATGTCATAAATGCAGTGGAAAGAAATTTAAACTCACACATCTCACATTCATAGGAGAAAAGCAGATCGATCATGGAGACAAAAATTAAATGTGAAGAAAAGTCAGAAAGTGAAACAAAATACAAATTTTATAGGCCACTCAGAAAACATTAACAGAAAGCTATAACAACAAAGAAAAGAGGATGAGCTCAAACTTTTTTCTAAATAACTATCTTGGATATTCATAATATCATTTTTTCTTGCAAGAAGGTCTAGATGAAATTTATGATCAACCCTGAACTACATTACTAAAAGAAATTTTTTTTTTCTGTTAAATGCTTTCCAAGATCAGGAACAAGACAAGAATGTCTATTCTCATCATTTCTATTCAACTCTGTATTGTAGGTTTTAGCCAGTGTAACAATGCAAGGAAAAGTAATAAAAGGCATCCAGATCAGAAAAAAAAGAAAACTATCTTTATTAGAGTACATAATCACTTATGTATATAATCCCTTGGCCCTAGCTGGTTTGGCTCAGTGGATAGAGTGTGTGCCTGTGGACTGAAGGGCCCCAGGTTCGATTCCAGTCAAGCACATATGCCCGGGTTGCAGCCTCCATCTCCAGTAAGGGGCATGCAAGAAGCAGCCAATCAATGATTCCTTCTCATCACTGATGTTTCTATCTCTCTCTCCCTCTCCCATCCTCCCTAAAGTGTGTGTGTGTGTGTGTGTGTGTGTGTGTGTGTGTATATATATATATAACATTTTACTTAATTCCTATTTCAAGCTGTCAGAAGTTTTTTGGAAGTCCCTAAGTTTGGAGGGGGTTTGTTTCTGCCTATCTTTGAATAATACCTTTATCTTAAGTGTGTGTGTGTGTGTGTGTGTGTGTGTGTGTGTGTAATATTATTCATATTATTTATGGTTTATTTTTAAAGATAACTTAAAATTTAAGCAATAGTTTACATTTTAGATCTGCTTTTCTATGCTGTTTTTGAGAACATTTCACAGTCTAGTAAAAATATTAATGTTATTCTCATAGGTTTCTAGTCCTGAAGGCTTCACTTAGCAGCCAACATCCATAAAACCAAGAGGGATTGAAGCCTGTCAGCATCACTTTAATCAACTCAAAGGTTGTTATGAACAGTCTCAAGGCCACAGGGCTGTCCTCCCCGCAGGGCTTGGTATTAGTTGCCTCTTCCAGTTCTGACAGCCAAAGAAGTGTGTGAGACTGCAAGGCTGAGTCAGACAGTTTCCACTTTGACACTGCAGAACAGCTAAGAAATGTCTTCTGTATTTTAACTATAAATTCTACACAGCTACCGTATGTGAAAAGTAAGAAATATAACCATTATTCTGAGGCAGTTATTTTTTAATCAACATAGTAGTTTTCCCATATTCACGGGGGATATGTTCTAAGACCCCTAGCAGATGTCTGAAAATATGGATAACACAAACTCTATATTTATTGCTAGAGGCCTGGTGCATGAAATTTGTGCACTGGGTAGTGGGGGTGTATCCTTAGCTCAGCCTGCACCCTCTCACAATCTGGAACTTCTTGGGAGATGCTCACCTGTTGGTTTAGGCCCAGTCCTCCTCGGGCCTAAGCTTACACTCAGACATCCCTCTCACACTCTGGGGCGCTTTCAGTCCAGGACCCTCAGGACCCCTCGCTCCTTACTACCTGCCTGCCACAGAGGTGGGAGAGGCTCCCACCACCACTGCTGCACTCACCAATTGTGAGCCCAGGAAGGAGGGAAAGCCACTCAACCAGAAGCTGGCTTGCTGATCCTTAGTGCTGGTCTTGGCCCCCCATCCACTGGTCATTTAGAAAGGTCATTCTTGCCTTGACCCTCACAGCCCCAGCTTTGTCTGGAAGGTCATCCAGAAGGACATTTGGCTGTTTGGTCTAGTTAGCATATTAGCTCTATATTATATAGAATGTTTTTTCCTATACATGCATGCAAATGATAAAATTTAACTTCTAAATCAGATACAGTAAGAGATTAACAATAACTAATAAAAATAGAACAGTTATAATAAACCTATATAATAAAAGCCTAGTATGCTAAGTGTCTGGTTGTCCAGTTGTCCAGTCATTCGGTCAACCAATCAAAATGTAATGTATGCTAATAAAAGAGAAACATGCAAATTAACCATCACTCTGCTATGCCTACCAGCCAATCAGGAGGTAATATGCAAATTAGATGGAGAAAGATGGTGGCTACCCAGCTGCTCCATGTGGGGAGTGGCCGGGTTGGGCAGGAGGCTTGCTATGAGCCCGAGGACGGGAGTGGGGGATACGGGGTGAAGGGATCTATAGGAGTGGCACTCTGGTGGTGGATACAGAGTGGATATGCTGGACAAGGGATGGATATTGTGTCCTGGGTGGAATAGAGTGGGAAGTTGTAAGATTTCATCATGCTACTCAGAATGGCTTACAATTTAAAACTTATGAGTTGTTTTTTTCTGGAATTTTCTATTTAATATTT